GTATTGCTCAGCGATAATCATGGTAATCATGGTAATAAGGGAGTTATGACCAGCGATAATCATGGAGATAATCATGGTGATAAGGGAGATTACGCAATCACGGTTTGCAATCTTAACAGCTGGACCTATTAATGAGGAGGATCATAATCAAATAATTAATTCTGTTACTCCTCATATGGGGGGCCCCTGAATTTGAAATTCCTCAGAAAATATGGACTAAATCCAAAAAGTCCAAAGATACCCCTAGGACTGATCAAATCAAGCACGCATGCAGTAATTCTTCAAGCACGGGTAAGAGGTGTCCAGTCCAGAGTGAAAATCGTGAAGATCATACTCCTGTTCCACCATCTCCATCAATTGCTACTCCCATGGCGGTTAGTCCTATGCAAGCAAATCAACATGATCAGGAAAATGGGATGAAAGCAGATAGCACTTTGAACCAGAATCAAGAGCAGTTATATGACACATTTCATAAAACTGGTCCTGATATATCAGTTGACAACAGCAGCGACATCCAAAATCCTAAAACCTCAACCATCTCTACGTGCATGGAGGTGGACAGAGTTCACCAGGAAGATATTTCAAGAATGAAGGATGCAAGAACCTTGGAGTCTTGCATTCAACATAGTTTTTAATGAATTTATTCTTCTGGAACTGTAGGGGAGCAGTGAAACCCCAGTTTCAAAAATCGCTTTTTCTGTTTACTAGGAAATATAAGCCTAGTATTGTAGTGATTCTAGAACCTCGGTGTAGTGGTCAAAAAGCTTCTGACATTATCCGAAAATCTGGGTTTAAGCATGCTTTTGTTCAAGAGGCAGAAGGTTACTCAGGGGGTATTTGGATCCTTCAATACGAAGACTAACCTATTGCATAGTATTGCAGAAATTCAGAATCATGTTGATTATCATACCAACTTATCTCTCCAATCTAGAGAAAAGGAGGTTAGGAAGGACCTTGATGCGGTTCTCATACAAGAAGAGATCTTATGGTTTCAAAAAGCCAGGGTGAAATGGATAAATGATGGGGATAGAAACACCAAATTCTATCACATTAAAACAGCTACTCGAAGAAGTTCGAATAGGATTCTTGAGTTAAAAAATTCTGATGGGATTTGGGTGAAGGAAGCTAGACAACTTCATCAATTGGTAACAGATTTCTATAGCAACTTGTTTAGTGAGGAAGTCCTTAATCGTGATTGGGTGAAATCAAAGACTACTTGGCCCCTTCTGCACGATGATCTGCTATCTAATCTGACTCGTAATCTTTCGGATGACGAAATTTCAAAAGCTGTTTTTAGTATCAATGGGTCAAAAGCTCCAGGGGAAGATGGTTTTCCAACTGCCTTTTTTCATAAGAATTGGAGTCTTATTAAGACTAATGTTATTAAGGATGTTAACATGATGTTTCAGAATCCCAATCTGATTCACCTTGTGAACTCGACTCTTCTGGTCCTCATTCCAAAAGTAAAGAGACCTGAAAGTGCTAAGCAGCTCAGACCAATCTCTTTGTGCAATGTCATTTATAAAATCCTCAGTAAAATTCTGGTTAACAGAATGAAGCCCCTAATGGAAGAGATGGTGTCTCCCTTCCAAGCTTGTTTTGTTCCTAAACGACATATCCAGGACAACATCATCATCACCCAAGAGCTGATCCATTCAATGCGTAGAATGAGAGGAAGAAAATGTTTCATGGCAATTAAAATTGACTTGGAAAAGGCTTATGATATGTTAAATTGGGAGTTTGTTCGTAAAATTTTGGATGAAACTCAAATCCCACACTGGTTCACAAATATTATCATGAATTGTATCAACTCTGATAAGGTCTCAGTGCTTTGGAATGGAGCCATTGCAGGTGACTTCCTTCCTTCAAGAGGAGTTCGTCAGGGTGATCCTTTATCTCCCTACATTTTTGTTCTAGCCATGGAAAATTGTCTCATCTCATTCAAGATGCGGTTGACAATAAGAGATGGAAGCCAATCTCCGTGGGATCAAAAGGTCCTAAGATAGCCCATCTGATGTTTGCTAATGATTTGATGTTGTTTGCAGAAGCTTCTCTAGATCAAATCAAAGTTATAGTGGATTGCTTGGAGACTTTTAGTTCAATGTCTGGCCTAAAGGTTAGTATTCTGAAATCTAGTATTTTTTTCTCGAAAAATACAGATGCTCACATTGCAGATGATATCACAAATATGTGTGGCTTCAAGCAAACTCACAATATAGGGAGATATCTTGGGTCCATGATGAAACATGGTCGAGTAACCAAAGACCATTATGCTGATGTTGTTGCAAGAATTAGGCACAAGTTATCTGGTTGGAGTAACCAGGTCTTATCTTTTGCCGGTCGAATTACACTTTCCAACTCCGTTATTTCAGCAACTCCTATATTTCAAATGTAACACAGTTTGCTTCCTGTAGCCATTTGTGATGAAATAGAGAAGTTGCAGCGTGCCTTTATTTGGGGTGATAAAAATGGTCAAAGGAGATCTCATCTGGTTGCATGGGATAATATTTGCAAGCCTAAGAGCATCGTGGCTTAGGGGTGATTAACCTTCGTGTCCAAAATATGGCTTTCTTTCACAAGCTTGCATGGACGATACTTACTTCGCCCGATTCGTTGTGGGTTCGAGTTGTAACAAGTATAAATAAGAGAGGTTTGGATCTTCGGAGGGAAGTAAATCATAAAGCATATGACTCATACTTCTGGAAAAATATGTGTAGTGTTTGGCCATCTTTTCTTCAAGCAATGCAATGGGAGATTGGAGACGGTAATGATGCATTATTTTGGACAGACAATTGGTTGGGTTTAACTGAGTGTCTTGCCTCTCTGGCTACTCGTACTCCAACTGGTTTGGAGTTGAATCTCCCTGTTAGTGCCTTCGTGAACAGCAATACTGGTCAATGGAACTTTCCCTATATTCGTCAATATCTCAATGATCAAGCTGTTGCAAGGATCCAAGCTGCTCTCATTCCTAGCGCATTGGATGGAAATGACCGCATTATTTGGAGAAATCAAAAGGTTGGCTGCTCTTTAGTTAAAACCGCGTATTATAACATGCTTGGTTTCCCTCTCATGCCGTTGAAAAATTCTTGGACTACCATATGGAAATGGCATGGGCCTCAACGTGTTAAATCTTGTATGTGGATCATAATGCATGGCCGCCTTCTTACTAAAGACCGCACATCTAGATGGAGTGGGGAATCTGGTCATTGTAAAATATGTCCTGGTGAGTTGGAAACAAACCTCCATGTTCTAAGAGATTGTAAGCATGCTAGAAGTGTTTGGAATTCTCTGGTTTCAGCTAATCGGCAAAGCTTATTCTACAGCTTGGATCTTAGAGATTGGGTTGAAAATAATATCTCAAAAGCTTGGAATCAAAGTAATTCAGATGATTGGCGTGATGTCTTTTTTATCTCTTGTTGGTTCATTTGGGGATGGAGGAACAAAAGTGTCCATGATACTAACTTCAAGCATCCAACCCATGGAACGCACATAATTGCTATGTATATAGAGGAAGTTCGTAACTGCATGGGTAGGAAGGCTATGGCTACTACTAGCATTCATCCAACTCGTATGAGTTTATGGAAACCTCCAAGGTTAAATTGGGTGAAGATTAATATTGATGGGGCAGTTGAAAGGAATACTGAGGTGGCTGCTTGTGGTGGGATTATCAGATCTGATGATGGCTCTTGGTTGGGAGGCTTTGAGTATCATATTGGTGCTTGCACTCCTTTAATGGCGGAGCTTTGGGGAACTCTAAAAGGTCTGGAATTGGTTTGGCAACTGGGATTTAAGAAGGTGGAACTAGAAGGAGATGCTTCTGAAGTATTCTCTTTGCTTGCTGATTGCAATGCAGCTTGTCAGCCTCGTATAGTGGCTAAGATACAAGCACTCATCGGTCAGGATTGGGAGGTAACGCTTTCTCATATTCCAAGAGAAGCTAATTCCTGTGCTGATTGGTTAGCCAAGTCTGCTCTTCACAAAGATACTGGATTCTGGAGTCATAGAGTTATGCCGTTTCACCTTGCTCAGTTATTTGATCACGATCTTCAGGGAATCTCCTCTTGTAGGGATATAGACCCTGGATAGTTATTTTTTGTTTCTGGTTGTTTGTTTGTTTTTGTTTGAGGATTCGCCCCTTAATGTTATCAAAAAAAAAAAAAAAAAGAGAGAGAGAAAAAACCCAGTTACTTTACAGTTTTTTGTTGGCTAAAATGTTGACTTAATTTCTAGTTTCTAGGAAAAGACAAAAGTGACTTTCTTCAATTTTGTAATATAAAGTAGTGAAAACAGAAAAATAAGTTATGACTTGAGAAAGAAAAACAAGAGATATTACAAAAATAAAAAATAAAAAAACAAGAGCAAAGTTACTTGGATCTGGATCCTCTCATGTGAAAATTCACATGACCATGTCATGTGGAGAATCATAATCATACAAAGGTGGATCAATGGTAAAAAAAGAGGAGAGAGAAAAAATGATAAAATAGGTAATTACGAAATCATAATCGTTGATTTACCTTTGTATGGTTGTGATCTTTTCACATTACCATATCATGTTTTTTTGACACATTAGAGGATCCATTTCCAAGTTACTTTTGGTTTGTAACAAAAAAAAACGGTTGTAACTTTATTCCTTTACAAAAACAAAATAGTCGCGAGTGTCCTAAGAAATTCAAAGTAAACTCATTTAGTTAAAATTTTAGTCCTTCACAAATTCAAAAAAGATCCATATTAATTCTTCAAAAAAACTAAAACGGGTCCACTTTGAATTTCATAAAAATCAGATAACTGATTTTTTTTTTTTTTTTGCAAGGAATTAAAATAAAGATCATAATTTTGATTAGAGACCCAAAAAAAAACTTTATTGAAGACCCAAATAAACCTTAAATCCCAAAAAGACTTTACTAAAAAAACAATTCACATGGATCAAATAGTGCATCAAAATCAAAGAGAAGTAGAGACATGTTAATATGCCGTTATTGGGTTCAAATCCAAAAAAACAAACAAACATTTGTAATATGGTTCATTTCGTGAACTCCCATGTTAGCATGTAATTTGTGCACGTGCCACATGGCATTCTCCGTCGACCGGGTTATTCCCACCGTCGTGCTGGGTTTCCGGTTCGAATCGCTGAGAAACGGTACTCTCCGGTGCCGGAGCAGACACCTCGTCACCACCCAACTTTCCAACTCGTTTTCCATAAATTTCGCATTGGATTCTCAGGTTCCTATTATTTTCATTTTAACTAACTAAATTCTTCTTTGCGATCTGTTCACTCTTCAACTTGCAGTTTCTTTCACCATACACAGCTTTAGTGTTTCCCGTACGTTATTCACAAATCTTAGTTCACCATCGAATATATGATTATTAATTTCGTCAATTATGTTATTACTATTATTACTTTTCATGACACAATTAAGGGTTTATATGCATCAGTGAATTGACTAATTGGAACTGATATTCTTATTTCAATTTTATTTTTAATTGCTTTTGTTTGCAGAGCTTGAATTCCATCCAATCCCATGATCCATTACGGTTACCTTGGATGGGTCCAGTTCCTGGTGATATTGCTGAAGTAGAGGCATATTGTAGAATCTTTAGGAATTCTGAAAGGCTTCATTCTGCGTTAATGAATGCATTATGTGACATGTTCACTAGTGAATGTAGTGTTTCATCTGATGAGAAACTGCTTCTAGAAGAGAAAATAGTTTCTGCCCTTGGATGCATGGTAGCCCTTGTGAACAATGGGAGGGATGATGTTCTTTCTGGAAGAACTTCTAATATGAGTTCTTTCCATGCTGCCGAGGTTAGTAGCATAATGGAGGATGCGCTCCCCCCACTTGCCATTTTTAGGAGTGAGATGAAAAGGTGTTGTGAGAGCTTGCATGTTGCTCTCGAGAACTATTTAATTCCTGATGATGATCGAAGCTTGTATGTGTGGAGGAAACTTCAGAGACTGAAGAATGTCTGCTATGATTCTGGTTTCCCTGGCAGCGAGGATTATCCGTGTCCTGCACTGGTTGCAAATTGGAGTCCTGTATATTTATCCACTTCCAGAGAGGATAGAGAGTGGAAAGAATCTGATGCAGCTTTTTGGACTGGCGGGCAGGTAACAGAAGAAGGCCTAAAGTGGTTACTGGATAAAGGATGTAAAACTATTGTAGATCTTAGAGAAGAGACTGTAAAAGATAATTTCTATCAAGCAGCTGTGCGTGATGCTATTTCGTCTGGAAGAATTGAATTGGTCAAAATCCCCGTTGAAGTTAGGACTGCACCTACAATGGAACAAGTTGAGAGGTTTGCTTCTTATGTTTCAGATAGCAGCAAAAGGCCGATCTATCTTCACGGCAAGGAAGGAGTTTGGAGAACATCTGCCATGGTCTCCAGATGGAGGCAATACATGACTCGCTCTGCATCACTGTGTGTTTCTAATCAAGCAGTTGTTTCTAATGACATGTTATCAGATTATACAAATGGACCTGGGAAACTGCAGGACCCTTCAATGATTGCTGAGAGATCCTCCCTGGAAAAAGATATCAATTTGTTGCAAGAGAATTTGGGGGCAACAAATAGTTCTGTTGGCACATTTGACAGAAGTATGTCTCCAAAGAAGAAAAATGAAAAAACGCAAAATAATGGGGTCTTGAGTGGAATTAGTACTTCATCACATGCCACTGCTGCTAATGGGGAAGGATCTTTTCCAAGTTTCTCCAGCAAGACCAGCCCTTTAGAAGCTCAAGTTCCTCCTTGTGATATCTTTTCAAAAAAAGACATGTCTGGATTTATAGGAAGTAGGAAGATCTCAAAAACCTCTTATTTCAGTTATCAGGTTAAAGGGTTGGAATGCTTGCCAGATTCAGGGAAAATGAATACTGGAAGAATGCAGGGGGGAGTGATTATCAGCAGTGGTGATAATCCTGAACCTAAAATTGTGGGTCCAGAAAGTTCTAGTGGGTCATCTCATGTGGATTATCCATCTGAAGAGCCACAGATTAAAGTTAGTAGCAATTGGAAGTTAGTGAATGGGGATACTTCCAGTTCTATTAGGACAACAGTTAATGAGTTCAATGAAGGGGAAATGTATTGCATGACTGATGCCAATATCTCTACCACTGTGAACAATGACATGGATAATGTCAAAACTAACTCTGAAAGGGTTGGAGATGATAAGAATAAGGCTGCGTTAGCCTTATGTGATGAAGACTTGGGACTCATTGAAGGAGACATGTGTGCATCCTCAACGGGAGTTGTAAGAGTGCAGTCAAGAAAGAAAGCAGAAATGTTCCTGGTGCGAACAGATGGATTTTCTTGTGCCAGAGAAAAGGTGACTGAATCTTCTTTGGCCTTCACTCATCCTAGCACCCAACAACAGATGCTTATGTGGAAATCTATGCCAAAGACTGTGTTATTGTTGAAAAAGCTGGGGAAGCAACTCATGGAAGAAGCTAAAGAGGTAATTATTTTTTTAGACTCTAAGAAGCATCCAAGCCATTTAAAAAAAGTACTATCTGGTTTTCAATAGCCTAGACATCATAGTTTCTAACATTGATGTTTAGGAATTAATTTGTGTTTTGGTACATTGGAGGGACAAGTCCTGTTGTAGGGAGGGATAGGCATTGAGGTCAGGGCTCAGGTTAGGTGCCAGCTGCTCTATAAAGGCGATGAATAAGAACAATTTATTTGATTTGGCATCAAATTTCTCAAGCATTGAGATAGCTTTGCATATAGTATGTTTCTACTTTGTAATTGTATCTTTGAACAACCTTATATATTCATTACTCTATTATTGTTGTGAGGAATCAGCTATCTCAAAAGCTTTTTGAAGTCTTTTATGAAAGAATGTTAGAAGACAATTTAATTCTATAAAGAACCAATTCAACCCAAAAGCTTAAGCTTTTGGGTGAGGCTATATTAATGGTTTTATATATCTCAACACGCCCCCTCACACGAGAGCCCACTGGGCTTGAAGGGTGGACAATGCACAGGCCCACCTACCTGTGCGAACAAAGAAATTCCACTTGAAAGAAAGTGGGGGGCGACGAGGATCGAACCCCGGACACGAGGCTTTGATACCTTGTAAAGAACCAATTCAACCCAAAAGCTTAAGCTTTTGGGTGAGGCTACATTAATGGTTTTATATATCTCAACAAATTCAGAACCTATAGCATTTTGTTTGTCCATTTCATGTTGTCAATTTCTAAGGATTTTTCCTCATAAGAAAGTTGGAGAGCTGAATATCAATTAGTAAAAGAATTGAATTCTCAACATTTATGGGATTTTAGATGGAAACTATAAAAGAAGGTTGGCAGGAATTTGATGAACATCATTTTGTTGGATATGGTTGGATCTATATTTTTCATTACTAAGAATGCGCCAGAGATAAAAACATCTAGTCTCTTTCTTGGTAAAGGAATGGAGTTTGGGAATAAAATCTCATAGGGAATGTGAGAACTGGGGAATAAAACTCTGAACTTTGACTGGTATTCCAACAGCATTTGGTACTTTTATGATTCTTATTGAAACTATGAGTATTTATTCTGAATTTTTGTAATTGATCTGACTAAATTTAAGTACACTCTCAGTAGAGTTTCTGTATCTAATTTGCAGGTTGCATCTTTTCTATATTACCAAGAGAAAATGAACGTTTTTGTGGAACCTGATGTGCATGATATATTTGCTAGAATTCCTGGGTTTGGATTTGTTCATACCTTCTATAGTCAAGATACTTGGTACTGGAGTTTGTGATTTAAGTGCGATAACTTCACTTTTTTGCCCCTTATATGGAATCTGTGCTTCATTAAATGGTTGCTTAACATATCTAATGCCTTTGATTCAGTGATCTACATGACAAAGTAGATTTTGTGGCATGTTTGGGGGGAGATGGTGTTATACTGCATGCTTCAAATCTTTTCAGAGGTGCTGTTCCCCCTGTTGTGTCATTTAACCTTGGTTCCCTTGGTTTTCTAACTTCTCATAATGTAAGCTTTCCAATTCCATCATTTATTTCACCATAAAGAAGTGAAGGTATCTTTTTGGCCATTTGTTTGACTTCCATTCTGTTTTCTGCCTAGTTTGAAGACTACAAACAGGACTTAAGACGAGTCATTCATGGAAATAGTACACAAGATGGTGTGTCCATCACTCTTAGAATGCGTCTCCGGTGTGAAATTTTTCGTAAGGGTAAAGCAGTGCCAGGGAAAGTTTTTGATATTCTCAATGAGGTTGTTGTTGATCGAGGATCTAATCCATACCTTTCAAAGATTGAATGTTATGAACATGATAGACTTATAACCAAGGTGAGTTTTATTGTGTATTGTTGTTCGTGCTCTAAATTTCAATACATCTTTCATATTCTATAATGAGAGCCATTACTTCTAAATTTCATATTTCTGAACACCTTTCTGAAGCAGTCATGCCTTCTATATGATGATTGTCATGTCTTTCAGGTACAAGGTGATGGAGTCATCGTGGCCACCCCTACTGGAAGCACTGCCTATTCTACAGCTGCTGGAGGTTCCATGGTAAGCTTGTGCTCAAGTTGTATTCGTTAGGAGCATGGTTTGAGCTGTTTTCATTACTAAATTAATTAGATGGATTGGCTTGATATCCTTGCATTGGAATACTTTGATAAACAATAATTATAAACTTTAGCCATTACGGGTTCTTCCAAGCTTTCCTCACCTGCTCTTTCTACACAAGAGTTGTAGATGTGGAACATTGTGTTGATGTGTCTTCCTCCTCTTACTGCTGCATTGCAGGTGGCAGCTTAAGATAACTGGATGATATGATATTCTTTATTATGTTATAAGGAGACTGAAACTAGTAATATTGTTTAAGTTGTAGTCATCAATCTTTTCCCAACTACTTTGCAAATGTTGGTGGTTTTCAAATGCTGAATAAAACTGCACCTGAACATAGTTCACCTGCTCTTTCTACAAAGAGTTGTAGATGTTGAACTTCGTGTTGACGTGACTTCCTCCCCCCCCCCCCCCCCCACACAAAAAAAAAAAAAAAACTTTTTTATGTTTGTCCCCATTTTACAAAATCGAAAAACTTGTTTAAATAGAGAGGAATTTAAATAGAGTCTTCCTCTCTTTCCTCCTTTCCCAAAAAGAGGCTTCATATAATATGTACTTATTATCCCTTACAGAAAATGTACTCGTTTTTATGCTTCCTATTGTAACTTAGCTTCTATCACGTGAAAAGTGAAATAGTGAACATCTGTTGAAAGAGTTAAGTGACTTTGAAGATGTCACACTCACACAGTAAATTCTTGTTCCACTTGTGGATGTTGAATACAAGCTAGTATCCAAGGAATTGCAGTACAAAGTTTAAATTAACATTGCCATAGAAACCTCATAGAACTCACCTTGTATAATTTTTCCTTTAACATAACCTTTTAAATTATAATATATATCTTCTAATGTCATGGTATCTGCACTGCATCAGTATGAAATTAACCCAACTGCTTTCGTTGATGTTTTTTACTAACGACAAAAGAAAACTGCAGGTCCATCCAAACGTTCCCTGCATGCTGTTTACCCCAATCTGTCCACATTCACTCTCATTTAGACCAGTTATACTTCCGGATTCTGCTCAACTTGAATTAAAGGTGAAGTTAATCGTTGGCTATGTGGTAAAAGTATCATATTGGATGTTCTTGTTACCAAAATTGCATGTTTCATTGCATATGATGCGTCTTCTGTGTTAAAAAATGTTTTACTTCTCAGGTATGTGTTGCAAAAAGCTACATGTAAGAATCAGTGATTTTAGGAACTCATTTCTTTTGTGTAATTTGAAATTTAGGGGTTAATTAATGATTTAATAAATTAATGTTTTGTAATTAGGATATGAGTTACATAGGGTTTTGTAGAAAATTAGAATTCAAACATGTTTCCGTTTTTATTTCCTATTAATTAGGATTGATTATGATTGATTAGGATTGATTATGATTGATTAGGATTAATTGTGATTGATTAGAATTGATTGTGATTAGGATTGTGATAGGATTGATTAGTCATCGCTTAGTCATTCTTAGCGATTCTTTCTTGTATAAATACTCACTCATGTAATTTATTCAATATCAATATACAAAAACTTCTTTTCAATATGGTATCAGAGCGGGTTCGTTCCTACCCTAATTCAAATCTGAAATAACCATCCAAACACTTCCATCACCGTCAAACACCTCCTAAACACCGCCTTGAATCTGTCCAACACAGAAACCTAGTTTACTGACCTCCGATCAAAAAAGTGAGGTGACCATTCGACTCAGAAGGATCCGACGAGTCGACCGCCGCTGGACCCATCGCCGTCAGCCGCTGCACGCGCCACCACGCGCCGCCTTCCAGACGTTTTTTTTCCGTCGCGACTTGCACAGACCTTCTCGCCGGCTTCTCCCCTTCCTGTTCCAGAGGTCAGATCAAAAGTTTACAAAACTTGATTTTTCATCAACGGTCAACCCTTCTCTTTTTATTCATGGCTTCCTCAAAACACTCTTTTTATTACCACGAGCAACCTCCTAAGGCCACTAGTCATGTGGTCCAGCAAGGTACAACTTTCCATGTTGATAGTCAAAATCATTGGATACTTGATTCTGGAGCCTCTGATCATATGACAGGTAATCTTGGCTTGTTTTGTTCATACACTCCATATTCTGAACCTTCTCGGGTCAAGATCGCCGATGGCAGTTTTTCCCAGATTGCGGGACACGGAACCATTAAACTTTCTGAGCTGATTACTTTGACATCAGTTCTTTATGTTCCTTCTCTGACTTGTAATCTCATTTCCATTAGCAAGCTCACCTCTGAGTTGCATTGTTTTGCTAAATTCTTTCCACATGGTTGTGTTTTTCAGGAACAGGACTCGGAGAGGATGATTGGCAGTGCTAGAGAGGATGGTGGACTTTACTACTTTGAGGAGGATGTGACTCATGAAGCTGTTTTCGTAGAAAAAAACTCTATGTTTCCTTTTGATTCATGTAATGATGTTATGCTGTGGCATCGTAGGCTAGGCCATCCAAATTTTATTTATCTTCAGAAGTTGTTGCCAAACTTATTTATTAATAAAAGTCCAAGTTTGTTTTCTTGTGATATTTGTCAACTTGCCAAGCATACTCGTGCTCATTATCCTTCTAAAGTTCACCATGACTCTTCCCCATTTTCCTTAATTCATAGCGACATATGGGGTCCAGCCCGTGTTAAAAATATTTCAGGTACTCGATGGTTCATTACCTTCATTGATGACCATTCTCGAGTTTGTTGGGTGTATCTTCTAAAGGATAAGTCCGATGCTGCATCCGTGTTTAAAAAATTTCATGCCATGGTTCAAACCCAATTCCAAGTTGCTATACAAATTCTTCGTACAGATAATGGCAAAGAGTATTTTAACTCTATTCTTGGAGAATATCTTTCCCAACATGGCATCCTTCACCAAAGCTCGTGTCCTGACACACCCCAACAAAACGGAGTTGCGGAAAGAAAAAACCGACATCTCCTTGAAGTTGCTCGGGCTCTTATGTTTACCACGAGTGTTCCTAAATATCTTTGGGGAGAGGCAGTTCTCACTGCCTCGTATCTGATAAATCGAATGCCATCTCGCATTCTGAAATTTCAGTCTCCTCTTTCTAGTCTTGTTCGTATCTTCCCTTCCTTCCGAGGTGTCTCCTCCTTACCTCTCAAGTTATTTGGTTGTGTTGTATTTGTCCATATTCCCTCCCATCAACGGTCTAAGCTTGATCCTAAGTCTCTCCAGTGTGTCTTTATTGGTTATTCTCCTACTCAACGTGGCTATAAGTGTTATTCACCCTCTCTTCGTAAGGTCTTTGTCTCTATGGATGTCACTTTTTCTGAGAATGACCCTTTCTTCCCCTCGACTTCTCTTCAGGGGGAGTCTATAGGAGTAGATGAAGATCAGTCATGGGAACCTATTAATGCCACAGTATTACCTCTACTCTTGGAAACAGGGGGAGCTACAGAATCCTCACCATCAGGAGCCTCCTCAAAATGGGGACAAGTTTATAGCAGGCGAAAGCCTCCTCAAAGTGTGAATAACCCAGAGCCTCTACACTGCCAGGATTCTGAACCATGTTCTAGTTCCAGCACCCCAATACTTGAGTGTCATGGTGAAAATGATCTACACTTGCCCATTGCTCTCAGAAAAGGTACTCGATCTTGTACTACTCATCCTATTTCTAATCATATTTCATATGGAAAGTTGTCCCCAGGGTTTCGTGCTTTCAATACTATGTTGGATAGTACAAAGATACCGAGAAATATACATGAGGCTCTCAATGATAAAAAATGGAGGGATGCTGTCTTTGAAGAAATGAATGCTTTAGAAAGAAATGGAACTTGGGAGATAGTGACCCTACCCAAAGGAAAAAAGGCAGTAGGATGCAAATGGGTGTTTACAATAAAATTCAATGCAGATAATAGCATCAACAGATACAAGGCAAGATTGGTTGCAAAGGGTTTCACTCAGACTCATGGGATAGATTATCATGAGACTTTTGCTCCGGTTGCTAAAGTCAATACCATCCGAGTTCTCTTATCTCTTGGTGCCAATCTAGATTGGCCTCTGCAACAGTTAGATGTGAAGAATGCATTCCTAAATGGTGACTTACATGAAGAAGTCTATATGGATCCTCCACCTGGTTTTGAAAGGGGAAATGAATCAGTGTGTAAACTAAAAAAGTCTCTATATGGATTGAAACAGTCTCCCAGAGAATGGTTCGACAAATTCACACAAGCAGTCAAAAGAAGAGGCTTCATTCAAGCACAGACTGATCATACTCTCTTCCACAAACACTCTAAGGATGGTAAAATTGCTATTCTTATTGTATATGTAGATGATATAATTCTTACAGGTGATGATATTGAGGAATTGAACACCTTGAAGAAATTTCTAGCAGCTCAATTTGAACTCAAAGACCTTGGCACTCTCAAATATTTCCTTGGTATGGAAGTTGCTAGGAGCAAAACAGGCATCACTCTAACACAAAAGAAATATGTTCTAGATCTTTTGTTGGAAACAGGAATGTTAGGGTGTAAACCTGCTGAGACACCTGTGGAACCTAATACCAAGTTAGGTATTGAAGATGGGAATGAGGTGGATAAAGAACAATATCAGCGATTGGTTGGTAAACTAATCTACTTATCTCATACGCGTCCTGACATTGCCTTTGCGGTGAGTATGATTAGTCAATTCATGCACTCACCCAAGGAGAAGCATCTTAGTGCAGTCTATAGGGTGCTTAGATACCTCAAGAATACTCCAGGAAGAGGATTATTCTTTAAAAAGGGGTATAAAAGGACAATTGAAATCTACACTGATGCAGATTGGGCAGGCTCATCAGTAGACAGAAGATCTACCTCAGGCTATTGCACCTATGTGTGGGGAAATCTTGTTACTTGGAGAAGCAAAAAGCAAACAGTGGTTGCAAGAAGTAGTGCTGAAGCAGAATTTCGAGCTTTAGCTCATGGAGTTTGTGAAGGAATCTGGTTGAGAAGACTTCTTCAAGAGTTAAAGATTTCATATTCCCTACCAATAAAACTATATTGTGACAACAAGGCAGCTGTTAGCATTGCTCAAAATCCTGTGCATCATGATCGAACAAAGCACGTGGAAGTTGATCGTCACTTCATCAAAGAAAAATTAGATGATGGAAGTGTGCATTTGATATATGTTCCAACCAAAGAGCAAACGGCAGATGTCCTTACCAAGGGCCTACACCGTCCAGCATTCGAAGACTTGATTGGCAAGTTGGGAATGATCAATATTTACCTCCCAACTTGAGGGGGAGTGTAGAAAATTAGAATTCAAACATGTTTCCGTTTTTATTTCCTATTAATTAGGATTGATTATGATTGATTAGGATTGATTATGATTGATTAGGATTAATTGTGATTGATTAGAATTGATTGTGATTAGGATTGTGATAGGATTGATTAGTCATCGCTTAGTCATTCTTAGCGATTCTTTCTTGTATAAATACTCACTCATGTAATTTATTCAATATCAATATACAAAAACTTCTTTTCAATAGGTTTATTGTTAGCAGATTCCAGAGGATGCTAGAAGCAATGCCTGGGTTTCATTTGATGGGAAGAGAAGGCAGCAACTTTCAAGAGGAGATTCTGTACGAATATCTATGAGTCAGCATCCTATCCCGACCGTTAACAAGTTTGACCAAACAGGTGATTGGTTTCATAGCTTGATTCGCTGCCTAAATTGGAATGAAAGGCTTGATCAAAAGGCCCTATAAAGCATGTGAAAATGAAGAACAGATATGTGTTATTCTCCTGTGATGGCTTGGATTGTGTAATTATAGTGCAGAATATACGTTGAGATGACAGAACTTAGATATAGGAGATACTAGTTACCACCAATTTCTTACATTGGCTTCCCATGAGAAGATAGGGTTTACTAATGGTTTTTCCACGTTATTGTAGCAAGATGCTGTTGTATACTGACGTTTAACAGTGTAAAATATTGATCTTAGAAGCAGCTTATTGCCTGAAAGTTTATCACAGTCTTCCAGATCGTACACTTCTTTTTCTCGTGATTGTACTCTGTTGAAATTGTAGCTGTCATATTTTTTTGTGTTTACTGAGATACTTGTACTCCAGCCTGTTTTCTTTTCTTTTTATTTTTTTATTTTTAAATAGCACAGATTTTTAAGGTGCTAGACACTTACCCGACTCCAACTCACATTCTCTCTATTTCTACATACTCTTTGCGGAAAATATAAATTCTGCTATCTACATGTATATTTTCATTCAATAATGTCCTAGGAAGAAGAAAAACCATCTCATATTTTCTGTCAGCTGACTGGTTTCTTACTAACTCTACCTAAGTATTTACCATTTCCTTGTATGGATTTTAAGATTTAAAGGTGTCATTTGGTGACTTATAAAATCTGTATATCTCCTTAGAAAGCAAAAGATATCGTAACTTGAACCAATTATAAAATTGACTACGATGTCTAACCAAACGAAAAGGAAACGATGTACTTTGTTATTTCCATATATAACATTGCTGAAGGTTAGTGGCGGTTCTTGTCCCAAAACTTCTAGTAATTGATTGTACCTTTTAGCAAATCAATTACAGCATTTGCTTTTTGTGGTTATGATGGTGTTGTAAATATTAGGTCTTTTATTATTATTAGTATTTGTTGTATTGGGCCAAGCCCATTAGGTCAAGAATTAGAGTATGGCCTCTTTTCAAAGGAGTTCCTTTACAAAGTTTTCTGATGGTGTATCGAGAGTTAGTTTTTGGTATGATGTATCTCAAGGTTATTTACAGATGGCCTTTAAGAGTCTACCTTTTAGCAAATATTACAGCATTAAGGAGATGGTTGCATTTGTTCTACTTCATGTGGATGATAACTGAATCCTAGAGCAGGGCAACAATATACAAGTGGAAGAGAGAAATTTATGGTGGACAAGTTTTGAGTAGAATTTATGTAATAGTACTATTGTACAATGCAAACCCAGATGGACCATGACATTGAAATATAAAGTAGTATTCTAAAAAGAAAAAAAAAACCCTGAATACTAATACCCACGGTGGTTTTCAATTCTGGAGAAATTTATGAAGAGAATGACAACCAAGTGGTATTCTTTGCTACTGACAATCATGTCTTATAGTATGAAGACCTGAAAACAAAGTAAAAGACAAAGGGAAAAAAACAAGTAGAGGGGGGGGGGGGGGGGGGGGGGGGCAAATGTATTGTCTATATGAAAGCAAATGCTTTTTTTCACATGGCCCCAACAGCACGAAACCTTGGTTCCTTGGGGAGGAACTTCTGCTCAGCATAGACAGACATGTAGTCACCAAAAACGAATTTAGGATAAGTGTCATCCACTTGTTGGTTTTCTTTTTCCACCAATTGTGGTGCAGGATATATGGTGGCCTTGAGTGATGGGTTATAGAAGGAGGCAATTGATCTCCTGTTCCCATCTGTAAGGGCCAGAACCCTGTGCCAACAACTCTTGTATCTGCCATTGCTTAGGACCTCAATCTGATCACCAGTGTTGATGACAATGGCATTTGGCAAAGGTTTGACATCAATCCATTGCCCATCTTTCAGCATTTGAAGGCCACCAACCTTATCATCTTGGAATAGTAGGATGACACCTCCTGCATCAGTGTGAGCTCGCAGACCTTTCACAAACTCTGGATTGGGACATGGTGGGTAGTGGCTGACCTTGGTGCCAAAGAAGGCATTGTCTCCATCTCCACCATTGAGTGCCTTCTTAATGTATCCTTTTTGTAGGCCCAGATTCTCATCCATCACTTCCATGATCCTCTCTGCCAATTTTTTTATCTCAGATCGATATTCTGCCATGGTTTCCCTGTCATTCATGTGAGAAGTCTGTTATGCATTTATGTTCAAAACTCTACCTATTGTGTCATATCACCACTTAGTATGTTTCTATAGTGCTGTCCTTGAATCATTAAATCAAATTCTGGTTTCAACTCTGCAAAAAATAGTCCCTCGTTTTCAAATTCTAAATGTTTTCTTGAAATCACCTATTTTAGTCATCAAGATTCAAGAGTCAGATGGACTGAATTCTGATTAACCGCAATTTGCTTGCAGTTACACAAGAACATAAATTTCTTGTGAATAAGAGAAAGTATAATGGAAGAGTGTGCATGAAATGATAGGTGAAATATCATTTTTTGTGGAACGTCTGATTATTATTTTAGTATGAAGAGCTTTTGATTTGCTTTATACCTGAAACCTGGTGTTCTTTCTGGCCATTCATTATCATCCAGGAGAGTGATAACATCCTCCCAGTCCACATCCTCCAACTTCTCACGGCTCTTCTTTTCAACTAAATCGTTTAGTAACTTCACTGTTGTAGAGTTCTTGAAATTTTCCTCTCTTTCCAGCTTATAGAACTCAGAGCAAACCTTCTTCACCCTCTCAAGGAGTTCATCTGGAATGCCATGGTTGATCACCTATAAAACAAAGTATGAGCTTTGATATTTATATATTTTAATACCAACAATAAATCCACAAGGAAAGGAAAGGAAAGGAATGCATTCATGTCAACATACTAGGAGCCATTTAAATGATGTAAGTACCTGGAAGAAACCCCATTCTTCACATCCATTAGATAACTGTGCCATAGTTTTGGCTCTTTCTTCCCCATTCAGTTTTGAGAAATCAATCACTGGGACTGCCATTAGATCAGAAGGTACAGAAAAGTTATGATGAGAAATGGAGTATGTGTGTGGGAGAGAGAGAGAGAGAGATAATAAGGTTGTTTTGAGCTTAGCTAGCTTTGTTCTGCTGTGGTTTCTAAGAGGGATACCTTAGCCTATTTATAACAAAACTTCCCACCATATTGGATACATTAATTGCATGTCAACCAATAGAGTATAGGTTCCCTTTCAAAGGAAGCAGCCCTTAAGAGTTGGGTCGCGGACGGTGACACATTTAATTAAAAATTCTTAGGTCAGAGCTTGCTTGCTTTGGGAGTTAACTGCTTTTTTGTAGCCTACAAGTCTACAACACAAGCCCTCACTTTTCAGGTGATGCATCTCATTAATTTTCCCACCATTGATTAAGTCATTTGATTAATCACACAAGCTACTTTGGTTCTCTCTTTCATGGGTTTGATTATTAATTAGTAACAGATCTTGAATCAATTCGTGTCAACCACTGCGCTTGACTTCATTTCATTTTTTTGTTTAAAACCAGGGATATGTTATATTTATAAATTTTTTGTTTACAAACTCTTACAAATTACACTGTGTACTATAGATAGTACATACTCAAGTAATATGTACTACCCGTAGTACATAGTGTAGTTTGTAAACAAAAAGTTTATAAATATAACCGTTTTTAAAACCAACCCAAGTCATGTTTTAACCGACTAAACCACTAGAGCATTATATAAGTATACTTACATAAATCCATATGAATTATTTGACTATGACTTCCTCTAACCTATGCTCTATCACTAATTATGGGATAGTTTACTTTTCTTTCGGTATTGATTCACATCAAATGCGAAGGGAACTCTCATTTTCTAAATAATATTTATCATTAATATATCCTTTTGTAGACTTTGAAATTGGTCATTTTGCGTATAGTTTAAATCTCTGCCGACTACTCTAATCATATGTTGACTACCCTACATTGCTTTGCATAACTACTTCCAATAAACTTTAATTTCACACATGACATTGAAGCCATAGTTTTAGGGTTACGGAAGGCATGGTCAAGGGTTCAATATATAAAAACTCAATCATTTTACCTCTAATTTAATAACATTGTCAACTTCTCAAATTGACATTCTAATGTTAATATTTTCCTTTTTTTTTTTTCTAACTAAAATAAGCATAACATGGCAGCATCATTTTCCTTTGTTAGTATGCTATTATTCAGAACTAGCATTATTGTGTAAATTAAGAATACTTTAGTCAGTGATTCGCCTTATGATTTGATTCCAATTGTCCGAATGTTAGGATACATTTCTGAGCAAACAGATGATATTGGCGTATGATTAAGGGGTCGAGTTTTACAATCTTAACTCATCTTTTGCTGTACTTGTAGTACTTCAAAACCATGTCAAAGTTCAAATTTTGGTTGAGATTGCATCACTGGCATGGCTTTTGTATACAGTAGACATATGGGGCCTCTCGTACTCTTCAGGCCACGTCGAATGGATTATATCACAGCAGTATTATATGAGGACAAATAACTGTCAGTGCCAGCTTTGAAGTTTTGATCCCAAACTTCAATCATTCATACTATTTTATATATGAGTTCAGTAGGATTCTTTTTTTAATGTGGTGGATGATGTAAGTTGAATAATATAGATTATAAATTTTGAAAAAATGGAATGAAGATAAAAAAAATCCACAAGTTAGGCTATTTTTATTTTATTTTATTATTATTATTACATTCAAAATCAAAACCTAATTCTTCTATTCAAGAATCATTCACCCAATTATGCGCATATTTGGGGATCAAAACTAACGGTTACACTTCAAACTTACTTTTGTATGGAAAGTGGTTTTGGGATATTTTTTTTGTTAATGTTTTGGTAAACTAGACAATACCCCCAACTAGCTAGTTTAGGATAAATATATTCTTGATGTTGATCTTGGTAAATGAGACAAATTAATTATACCCGTATATGTTTAGGCATAAATAAGAATTTGGCCTCACCAAAAATAAAAGAGAAAGAATTTGTTACTCGCTACTACCTTCAATTTTTTCATGTTTGGTGCACAGGGTATAAATGATATGATAGACTATTTTATCCCATCTTTATCTATTGTTTGATTAATCAATATGATATGATAATATTATCATTTTGGCTCATTTTATCCTATACGCAACCTCGTAAGTTATTTTAAAACGTGATTTGGGTAGTAATGATAGCCCTTTCTGTAACTTCAATTGAAATGTGAGAGTTAGTCCATACTAACAACCAGCTACCACATCACCAGTGCCATTTGCCACCACCACTCCCATGACATCAATGACAAGTCGACAAGCCACTAGCTACCACCACTACTAGCCAATCACCATGTTGATTATCAGTGGCGGACCAAGGATTTTTTATGATACAAGTGAAAACAAAATATCAAAGTTACAATTATTAGGGCTAATAAAAAGGGTTAACTATTACAAGTACTTTTTAAGGATAGGTTAACTATTATGACTAATAATTTATTTTTATTACAAAAATAATATTTTATACCTATAATAATAAAAAAATTAAAATTTAGGCAGACTGCCTATGTTTACTATGGAAAAGCACCCTTTTAAAATTTTTGGACAAAAGAATTGCCCAGTTAAAGCTGATTTGATAAGTTTTTTTCAAACTAATGCTGTCAAACATGTCACTAATACTGACGAGATTAGTCTCGTCAATGATACTGACGGGACTAATGCCACGTAGGCAGTTCAGTTACCGTAAAACTTTGAAAGGCCATAACTTTTGACTCGAGTATTCAAATCAGATGATTTTTTTTTATTTCACATAACTTTTCGAGATCTATGCAATGACACCTCATTTGATATATTTTATCTCCCACAAACATAGTTTGAATTTGTAACAATTGTACCACAATCACAAGAGTGTTTAAATCCAGAAGATGGCACATGCGACAGCTATATTGTTGGTTCGGAAAGAACTCGGGATCTTCTGGATTTAAATGATCTTGTAATTGTGGAACTATTGTTGCAAATTCAAACTATGTTTATGGGAGATAAAATATGTCAAATGATGTGTCATTGCGTAGATCTTGAAAAGTTATGTGAAATAAAAAAATAAATCATTTGATTTGGATACCCGAGTCAAAAGTTATGACATTCCGAACTGCCTACATGGCGCTGACGTGGCACAAGTCCCGTCAGTATAAATGACATGTTTAACTGCATTACTTTGTAAAGATTTATCCAATCAACTTTAATTGAACAATTCTTTTGTCTAAAAATTTTAAAATGGTGCTTTAGCCATGTTCACTATCCACCGGCCAACACTCACAAACACGACCACTATGACATGTGTGCTTGGAAGTTCTTTTCCATTAATTTTCATCAAATAACAAATATTTAACTCTATCCAAATATTACTTGTAGCTTGCTTGACGTAGTTAATAATTTCTATCAAGTAAATAAATTAATGCAAGCTATAATCAAAATTGAATTGTTTTGTGTTACATAATTTTTGTGTATTAATGTCATATAAATTATTGCTTTTATTGTGTTATGTACAAAAATATTGACAATCAATTTAAAATTTACTTTTAACACTTTATTTGGTGAATATATATCTTTTTATTTTAGAAAATTTTATAAGTTATTTTATGTATTTTAATATATTTATTTGGGGAAGGATTCATTTACAATTTTTTTTTACAAATTACACTAAGTATGATCAGTCATACACTCTTGATTGAAGTATGACCGGTCATACTTAGTGTAGTTTGTAAACAAAAAATTTGTAAATATACCATTCCCTTATTTATCTAAAATAATGTTTTTTAATTTTTTAATAACTTAAAATAAAAATTAATGTATAAATAAGTACAAAAAAAATAATTTTAAAAATTATATGAAATTTCATTATAAATGATATTTTTATCTCCCTCTCTCTCTCTCTATCTATATCTATATATATATATATATATATATATATATATATATATATATATATATATATATATATATATATATATATATATCATCTTGACGTTCACCTCAAACACAATATGAGATAATATAATCCTATAAGATTGTTTATCTAGCATGGATCAAACATAAGATACAATATGAATTTATCAAATCTATATCATTTTTTACTCTTATCCCATACTTTTATTATATCGGTTCTATTTCTATTATATCTACCAAACGAGTCGGTAGTTATTTATCTCTCTCTCCTTTGTTACGCAATGAGACAGAGAAATTTTATGTGAGTTTCACCATTAAAGTTTTAAATGAACATTATTCTTATAAAGTTATTTTATTTAAAGTGCATATTTCAAATATAAACTTATTTTTTTAATTAATTCTTTTTTAGTTTTTCAAGGATATTCACACCCAAGTGAATGAATCCAATTCATGCCATAGAGAGTTTTTAATTAATTTTTTCATATAATACATATATTAGTCATCCTATTTCAAGTACTCAAACTAGCCGGCCCTATCTAAGTTTAGTCAAACAAACAGACGCCAATCTTATATTAAAAAAGAGACGAGGAAATTTCAAGTTTTAACCATATAAAATTCTTCAATAAGTTTTATTTTTCTACAAAATAAAATAAGATAGAATAGCAGAAGATCAAATACATAAGATCACATGCATATAATACCCAACTTTGGTTACCTAATGGTCTCAATAAGAGAAATGAAATAAGTTATAATGAGAATATATTTTCAGCAACTTGAACTACATCATTTAATCATATGAAAACTAATAGATATTTTTTGGGGAGCTACTAATTTCATGTTGTTTGAGATAGTCCTCTCGTGGGTGAGACAAATATGTGAGGTCTACAATTTTTTTAAAAAAATGGCACAAAATTTGATTGGTGTATAGTAATTTTCAGCAACTTGAACTACATCATTTAATCATATGAAAACTAATAGACATTTTTTGGGGAGCTACTAATTTCATGTTGTTTGAGATAGTCCTCTCGTGGGTGAGACAAATATGTGAGGT